CTATTTTCGTGTAATTAAATACCTAATCATTATTAATACAATTCAAAACGGTTTAGTTTTTATGTGGTTTGGTTAGTAGTATATTTGAGATATTTTATAGGAAATCATAAATTATTTAATGTAATTTAGATTAAACTTATTTTCATATAGCTAAAATACAGCCTGGATTAGTTTTAACATTCGCCTAATTTTTTGAGAAGTCAAGTTTCTGATATTATTTCGTGTATATTTTTTTATATGAGAGGAGCGATGATGCCGGTTAGGGCTGTCAAAACGCTTGACGTAAGGATTGACGAGCGTGCCCTGCCTGCTTAGGTGTTTTGTACTTTTTTATGTTCAGCCTTGTACAATATTGTTTATCTACAAAATCGTCTGGGAACAAAATGATCAAAGCTTTGATGAGAAAATAAGTAGAGGTCATAATAACGTTTTGTTACTCGTGTACACCTTATAGATTTGAATTCGATCTTTATTATAATTGACTTCTAATACAAGTTATAAAGACATTTGAAAGTACATTCAATCTAATAATAAAAGCAAGTGGGAAATATTTCTAACATGATTTTCCATGTTGTTTTCGATAAATAGGCGAAAGGAAATGTTTATGTGACAGCGTTTGCTATTTATCCTAAAACGTGGTTACATATAGTTTTCTAGTCCTTGTGCAAGTTCAGCAGATACGTATCACATCAAGACAGATGGAGCCTCAGTCGTAGACTGAACAATGGGGAGTTACTTTAATTCACGGGTACATTACACAGCCAGACAAGAAAACGTATCAATATTTCATCTAACTCTGCAAAACATAAAAATGTCAAGGTGTAATAAATTATTGAGAGTCTAGCAAAAACCGATCACTTGTTGATACTATCTTTAGCTGATAGCAGTAATTATGTTTCACTTACTACTATTTCTGGCACTACAACATCGTGAATTGAATTCGCAAATAGTTCTTGCACGAGTTATGACGACAGTAAACGACTCGGTCGACACTTATGGGAATACAAGGATCAATTAAAATGGTTATTTTATTCAGTACGTATTTTTAATTGGCGCAAAATAAGCAACAGTATTAAATGAGGTCCAATGAGTGAGTTATTGTAATAGGTAATGAAAGCGGCCGGTCTCACGGGCCGGTGCCGTCCTCGTGAATCACGCGCTGCTGCAGCGCGACAAAAAAGGCCTCATACGACGACTGGCCAGTGCTCGCTACATGTTCGATTTTCCACAAGGCTTCGACTAACCTGCGCGTGCGCATTTGAATGTTATATCAGTTTTAATTTGTTTTCTTTCACGGACGTTCGCCGTCCCTGTCCCTCCCGAGCTATACGTTTTCATTTTAATTTATATTTATCAGCAAGATATGACTGTGCAGTTTGTGGCCCGTGTTGTTGCTACATTTACTATTATATTTTTATTGGGATGCTTTTGTATGAGTTGGCAGATATTTATCGGGTATCGGAACATTATTCGGTCTGCTCATAATCGTCCGCATAAAGCACCTTGTCACACGGTCGTTGGGCGCCGAATGCGCTCGCCCGACCCCGAGTATTCTTTTTGTGCTCCCCGGACGAGGGCCCTTATTCTCTGAGAAGTGGAAAAAATGAAGATATTAATATATCTTTCTAATTCGAAATACGTTTCGGATAAAAGGTACATCATAAATCATTATGCACGCTGTACGAAACTGCTCATACATGCGAGAGAAAACAGTTTTCGGGGAAGAGCTGTCGATGTCGTCAATCAGTCGTTATTGTGACAATATTGATAGCCCAGAGTAATTATAGAATGTTGCTGGTGTTCAGAATAGTCATGTTCGAATTGTTATAATTGAATATGGTCGGTATTCTAGATATGGCGTATTGAATGTAGCGATTAGTATTGTGGGTCAGACAGAACATGGCGCGTGGTCATGTCTGGCGCGGCCGGCTCTCGGCTGGCGGTGAGGCGGCTGTGTCAGCAATCGACCAGTCATCCACCGCTTATTAGCCGTCTCTCCATCTGAGATTGAATTAGCTTCGATATGTAGCATTTAATAAAGATTGAAACAATGTGCTGCACACTCACGCTTCAAATGATGAATCGATGATTAATGTCATTAATTACTCCCCAGCCTAGCGTATGTTAAGCAGGTATTGAAGCAAGAAAAAATGTTTTGAAATAGAACCCATCCTCACAGGCTGTACATTCACCTTAGGGGGGCCCAGATCTGAGATTTCGTTCAAAGTTTGTGTTATCTTCATTATTAGCGTTGCGGCGTTACGGTGATATAAGATAATTCTGTATTAATATCTAATGAACATGTCCCGAGAACAGGTGCACGAATATCATATGTCGCCCAATTATTATTCAAGGCGATGACAAGCCCGCGGCTGGTAGTCGCCGGTACACGAGCTAAAGATTCATTTGATTATACTCTAAATTGTAATAAATAGCGCTTTGTGCGACAACATTTTCGTTCCGCAACCTGATATCCGGTGCGCGATTGTTTTTTCTCTAAACTCACCTAAAGCCATTTACCACAATTTGGGTGCAAAGGCCGAGTGAGTCAGGTTACACATCACTCGTGCTATTTCTAAAAAGCTTGTTTTCACAGCGGAGCGCACTTAAGTAGCGATTTGTAACTCAATACTGCAGAGTAATTCGGGCCAGGCGTTCTGCCAACTGTGGATTTATTCGTGCTTCACTTACAAACCGTTTAATGTCTCTAAATTGATTTAAAAATACAAATCAGTAGCTTGAAATTACATTTTGCTCCAAAAAGTTTGTTTTACCAATGTAAATTGTTATCTTCTACATGGATTGAATCGGATAAAAAAGTATGGAGCCACGAAAAAAACGTGATATAAAGTTTCACGTCGATAATATAGTAACAAAAAAGTGTCTCCTGTGGGTGATACAGCCGTTTAAGATAAACATCTGACCCTAGCCGGTGTCCCGACGTGGAACGCGACGAATTCACGAAGTGCATTCCCGACTGGTGTTCGATTTGTTTTTGTTTTGACACTAAACGTTCAAAGAAACTATATCGAACATGATTTCGGTTTACGTAGCTATTAATAAACTTGACTCAAATAAAGATGTTATTTAAAATATTCAGATAGGCACTCAGATCATTATCTACACTTAATTTTCTAAATTAGATTTCTTAATTCTTGACTGGGAATCTGGTAATCTGGTTGATAATTTAGGGAAAACTTATTGTTCTAATTTTCATTTTCTTTGGTTTAGTAAGGTAATCTAACAATTCTCCTTGTTACATGAGATTGGCTCGTGCGCAGAAGAAGCGTTGAATTGAAATAGAATTTGTGTCCGATAGTTTTTTGTGTAGAGACAGAGCGACGGAGATGAGACGCCCGATTAGTAATTAGACGGGCGACACATGTTTTGGACTCTTTTATCTCGTATTAGCCTCATTAGTTGAGCCGAGACGTTTTTATTGACTGTTCTACCGTGATTTTTATTTCTCTATTTCCTCTTCTTCATCTTGGCGTCAGTTAGGATATCTCTGCATCTTAGATTCTGATTCGTCGTATATATTTTCGTTAAAATTATTACTGGCGTCACAAGTACCGATTAATATGTTTTCCGTTTCTAAGGCTCAGTTTTCCGACTTCTAAACTTTTACTAAAAAAATGTTAATAAATTGTTAGGACATAAGACACTTTTGAAACGCGTTTCATTCATTCATGCTTCTAACATAAAGATTTAACTTATGGCAATCATAATTCGCATTCCAGTTTGAATTGGTACTATGGATGATAGAGTATAAAGCACAAATATTTTGTAATGGAACACTGAATTATAAAGGAAGTATCGATCTATTGAAAACGTGTGATCCATTCATACGGCTGCGGTAAGGGAACGTCTAAAGAGCCCTATTATTGTAGCGTTAACAGACACTTGAGATTAGCATCTGTGGCTCCTCAAAAATCTTCATATTTCAAACACAATGTAGAGGATTACAGCCGAAGAGGTTTATTTGTAAACACGACAATATAATGGTAATGTTACATTGTGATGCGGTCACCAAACCGTCTGCCTACTTGTAATGTATTTTATTGAATATCATCTCACACGATTCGGTGAACATGTTACAATCAATGCACGACTAGAATATCACACAAAAAATCTGCAAAAAATAGGGTCACCGTGGAATCCTGTAGTAGAAAACGCGTATGATCATGTGGTCTGCTGAATTTCCTTGTAAATCACATCAAGCTAGTCGAGAACTTCAATCATAATCTATGTTGTTCATCAAGTTCATAGACGCCTAGTTAACTTATGCGTATATCTTGTATTTGCAGTCCAACATTAAAAATAAGTCAAAGTTAAGAAGGGCACTGAGAACAGGTCTCTTGTAAATAAGATAGCATCGCTCCGGCGTGATAACACCGCTCAGAGGAGATTATCTCCATTGTTCACGTTCATCATCAAGTTATCAGGAGTAAAACGGATGTTGAGCTGCCTTTGTCACAAGGCTCCACGGCTTATTGAGATGTCAGAACAAAAATATATCATTTGTCGTGACAATAAAGTTGAAAGTGGCGCGCGGTTAGCTACTCCAGGCTTTGTTACGGGAATGTGACAAAGTCGTCTTATAAATATGATTTATGGCCGTGTTAAGTATCCCGTGCAATTGTTGTGAATATTTATTTATGCTCGTAAACTATAAACAACGAGCAAATCTCGTTATTTACGATGTGATTGGACATTCGCGTACTCGTGCATGTGCTCCGTGTTTTCTTAACTGTGACTTTATAGTAGAGGAGTGGTACAGCTAACTGCTGTGGGTACTTATGTTACGATGCTGATTGGTATTATGTATTCGATTTTTATTTGTTTATTTGGTCAAATTTACAAAAAGTATATGACCATGAAGAAATACTTGTAGGTAACCTAAGTTGTTGAAAAACGTAATGTAGGCCTATTTTGTAGATTCATGTCGAATTCGATTATATGTACATCAAATTAATTAAAGTTATTTATTTGTTTACCAGGAGAAAAACCATTTAAATGCGAGTACGCGGGCTGCGACCGACGGTTCGCGAACTCTTCGGACAGGAAGAAACACTCACACGTGCACACATCTGACAAGCCGTACAACTGCCGCGTGCACGGCTGCGACAAGTCGTACACGCACCCCTCGTCGCTGCGCAAGCACATGAAGGTGCACGGCGCTGCTGGTGACGCCTCCCCGCGGTATGACAGTGACGGTGACGACTCCTCGTCTGCCGGCAGTGTCAGCGTGACCGCAGGCGCTGCCAGCCCTGCTGCGCCCCTGCCCCCGCCGCCAGCGCCTGCGCCGCAGCACCATCCACATCACCACCCCTCAATCACAGATAAACTAGAGAGCCTAAATGAAAAATACCTTAACCCTCACGATCAGAAACCTTACGAGCGACCACCGGCGCCGCCCCACCACAACCAAGCCCCACATCTGACCAACATCGGTGGGAACGGCGTCATGGATAACAAACTGGGCTTCGGTGGTCACTGGACACAATTCCAGCAACCAGCACCGACGATGCCGCACGGTGTACCTGACTGGTGGTGTCCCACGCAGGAGACCTACCACCATCACCACTTGATGCACCACTCGGGAGCCGCCGCCGCCTACTGACCGCATCGCGCTTAGCGAACTCTTCATTCGACGAACTCCAGCTAATGGGAGCACCAACGACGACTTAATTACATGGCTCTAGCTTGTGTAGGTTAATTAATCAATTTAATTGTAAGCCGATTGGTACTCGAGCGAGTCCGCAATCGACGTGGAATGAAAAGTTCACTAAAGCGCTTTGGACCAGTATTGTTTTAATGTGTTACGCTTATTATAAATGTAATTAGTCCATAGTCAATCCGACCAGTTCTAAATCATCGCCAAACGTCAGCCGTCCGAGAGATATTTAATATTTGGGTCTACTGTTAAGAAAAAGTTGTTTGATAGAATGGTGACAATGTAAACAGGCAACAATGGGACCTCGTGTCACAAGTTCTATTGTTTACTGTAAAACAAGTGAGTTGTAAACAATCACCGCTAGTTGAATGTTTTACACAATGTCATATATTTCCTGTAAACAATTTAACGATGAGAAGTGTCTTATTATTTTTTGGAAAACGATTCCTTTATTGAATAAGTAAGTATTGTGTGTTTGTAGCATTTGTGACGTTCATGGGCACAGTGACACTGCGACGAATATTTTTGTCAACCTTCTGCAATCGTTGACAGTGATTTATGACAGTCTTTGTGCACTGTGGAGACGCATACAAACAGACGTATTGTCTGAAATTTTAGTTTTGCGATACGAGAATAATTAAATATTCACACCTTTCAGCCTTGTACATTTATACTCTGTACTCCACAAGAAAATACATACAACTTTGTCAGCGACAGAAGCGGTACCTATAATAGCAAATATTAAAGGAAACTTGTAACATAAAATTATAATGATCAGCATGGCCAAAGCACCGAAGTCTAATAAAACTACGATTTTATAGGTTGTAAAATGTATGTAAATTGTTAGTGTTAAGTTAGATAGTACGCTGTAAAATATATATTTAAGGAAATGCCCAGTGATAATAGAGATAAGGGTTTGATTTGTATGTATATTTCACTCAAGTGTTGCTCCTTCATCGTGCTGCGGACTCTTGAACTACATATATTATGTATATTTATATTGAACATAGTGCTATTTTTTCACGGACCGAAGTTTTAGATAGTGAAAGTTTAAAGTGTACCTATAATAATATTATCTACCTATTTGACTGAAAAACATTACGTACTTTAAGTTATTTTAAGATGAAATTGTTGTCTTTTCTACAGCCCTGTAAATAGCAAGAAATAAAAATAAACAAATATTTCGATTTCATGGATATTACTTTGTTTTGGACTCCTAATAATCCCTTAAGCCTTTAGCTGCCGACAAAAACTGTTAAAAGCAAATCCTCTGCTAGCGTCGGGCATCATTGTCCGACACGGCATCCAATGTGTTAAAGAATTTTCTTGAAAAGTGCTAACTTATCCCAAACTTGAGCAACTTTGTAACAATGACAGACTATACCTACCTCATTCATAAGACATGTTTAAATGCTTATACATTGCCATCATTTCATTTTGACTTAGACACAATTATATTAATCACGATTTTAAAATGGCGCAGTAATTTGTTATGTTTTTTATTACAATACTGGTCGTAAACAAGAGACCGATTTATTCCAAATACAAAGTCAAAAGATTGATCACTCGAGTCACGAAATCTAAAATGGAAATCCAATTCTCGCGATCATTTCGATCGGATTCCGATCAAAAAACCTAAGTCCGTGACGATACCCACAATAAAACACCACACAATAACAAAACGAGGAACAATCATATTCCAAAAGAGAATTGAATTTATCATTGAGAAGAAACGAGAGAAAGAAATGATAAATGATCTAAAGGGCATAAGCACCGCAGAGTGTGAGCGAGACCGCGATACTATTCGATTCGACTTTACTGTCTGAGGGGATGATTTATCGTTTCTCAACAGGGATTGGCCGATCCAGTACTTAAAAGATTTATAGATCCTTATGGTGCATGCGCGGTAGGAGCGTTTTCTTATTATAAATCTCACTCCTGCGCATGAACTCGCGATTGCCTCTTTAGCTGTCCGTTGGAGAAATTAAAAAAATATGTTAACATATTGCAGTGGTGGAGGAATGAACCGGCGTGAGTACACCAAGAACACTGCGAGTAATTGGCCGGCTAAGTTAATGCGCCGGCGCACGGACGCCGCGCTCTCGGAGCATGCGCTACGCTGCTCCGGCTGTTCTATACAAATAATTGATTATGACATTAATACGTATTGTAAAGCGTGTTTTATTTTACTATCAATTGGAGTAGTAAAACATTTTGTATATATCATCTCGAATAACATCGTTACTACATATAGAAAATATAAAATCATGACGTAACATTACATCCAACGTGCCATCCAAATAAGGAAGTACAGCAATTTCGTCTTGACAGTACCAGTCGGCAGTCCTCATACGAGACTCTTTATAAATAGCTTACAGAACAAAACTGCTTTATGACATGGCTCTTTCCTAACATGCGCATAGGAGCTAAAGATTTATGGAACTAGATGAAAGTGAACTAAGGACCAACCATACAGAGAAAACCACCTACTCAATAAAGGTAACCAGAATTTAACGTTAATGCATCTCTAAAAGTTTACTGTTTTGTTTGTTGGTAAGGGTGCGATATTATGAGGGTTGGTACGGAGCGAGGTACAGAGCGGGTCTGCGTGCATCCCTATCTAAAGATAAGATCAGCAGTCCTGCCAGTGACACCTGGCCACGCCCCCCAGCCCCCCGATACACCGTTGTCCCCTTTTTTGTTTACACATCAAGGGAAACCATGTATTCATGTTCTAAATACAAATAATTACTGGACTACATCCGTAATCAGATTCTTAGAAACTCGACCTAAATATGTCAAACTTGTTCTTTTATTTTAAAAGGAGATAGACAAAGAGACAGTAAAGGTTAACTTTAAGTGAATTTAGAATAAAATAAGTTTCATAAGTTGTCTGAAACTCAATCATAGAAGATAGTCAACTTTTAATACAACAAGACTGTTTGTTACAATAAATTAATTAAATACCGCACCTAATTATATTGTAGATGATTACTTAAATAGACATTCAGAAAACATAATTTATACTTTAATTTTAAACTCTAACTGAACGTTTTACCCACAATCAAGCACTAGGCTATCATTTTACTTACTAGGTAAAATAACTAAGTTTCCGGACAAATCCACAATCTAGTTCGACATAGAAAAGACAATAAAAACCAAAAGGGCTGACAGCTCCATGGTAATACAGTCACAATAAAAATTGCAAATGTATTCGAGAGAGGTGCAAAAAAGAATGTATGGTAAAATACAATAGAGTTGGGAATTCTAATACATGCAACCCGGGCGGTCGTTTTTCGTGTGGCCCCGTTCTGTAAGGACTGAAATCTTTATTTATTAGAATCGGTAAATTATAAACGTCCAGTGTTTTATGTCCGTCGCATTGTTATTGATGTCCCACAAAAACCGGCCGCCGTCCCATAGACTATAATTGAAGAGAAATTAAGCTATGATTCTTATTTTTGGTTATTTTTCAATTTTGTCTAATACTTGTCTACTTACTATCGTAGTTACTATAGATAGTATAATGTGTGTCAGTTCATGATAGAATGTGAAACCTTACTACCTTAATTAATATGTTGACTGAGGACTAATGTACGTAAATAGTTAGGTACCACAGCAACGAGCTTCCTTGTGCATACTGCTAAGGGCTGGAATTCTTTGCCAGAGTCTGCATTTCCTGAAAGGTGTCGTGTGTGTCTTCAAAGCCTGATTGAATAGGTTGCTAACGGGACGACGTGCTCCATCGTAGATCGCATCATCGCTTACAACCAGGCGAGATAGTGGTCAAACGTCAACTCATCAAATGTATATATAAAAAACTTTCGCAGTTAATGTTTTTTTCATAACTTTTGTACTTACCTATTTTTTTCATGTTCTTCATGACGAGTATTAAAAACAAACATCGAGCTATAAAGAAAAAATAAGAACATTCTGAGTTTCAATCAGTAAATACTAAACCGCAATTTAAAATTAGAAGCTACATGTGTGTGCCAGTTACATTTCATTGCTTCGTTACCTTTTAAATGTAACCATCTCAATTCGTGCTCGGAATTCAAATGTGAAGGTGCGGAAACGACGCGCGACGCAGGCGGCCAGTGGGAACCGCATTGTTCCACTATCAATGCGAGACAAGTGTTTACAGCGCCACCTAGCGTTCCATATCCGATATACAGAATCACCGACCATAAAGTACAACGAAAACACATTAAAAAAAGATAAAAGTATGAAGTTACATTTAAATAATTATTATTATTCTTTTATGGATGCTATTATACTTAATATGAAGGAATTAAGCTTTGAGTGTAAGATTAGATTAGATTTAAATTTTAGAGAAAAGTTACACTCAGTTTAAGTTAAATGGGTATCTAACAATTTGTAGTTTTGAGTGTATTATATATATTTAAGTTCTTGAAAAGATATGTTTGACAAGAATTTTATTATTTACCTTCAAAATTATACATAGCAATAAGTAGCTCAATTACTTGTTATTATTCTAAATAGAATAGGAAACGTTTCATTTATTTTCATTCTATTCTAGTCACCGAGTTTTGACACTTAAATTACTTAAAACTACATGCGTAGTATTCGTGTAGTCGCAGCTACGAACCGCTACGTAATTGCTATAAAGACTACGCAGTGGCTACGCAGTGGCTACGCAGTGGCGACGCAGTGGCTACGCAGTGGCTACGCAGTTGCTACGTTGCGTAGTAATTTGGTGACTACGTGGAATTTATTCATTGATTGTTATTGTTACGATTGTTTTTCTTATTTTTTAACTATTCTAATTAATATTACACACGCATAGTGTTATTATTATGGTTTAGTTAGTAGTTTTGTTAAACTAACAGATTGAAATAATATTATGTCTAATTTACTAATTAACTCGTCGAGTACCGGTTTTGTAGACACAATTATAGAACAATAGGTTGCGGTCACCGGTGACCGCTTGGTGTTTGACAGTTTAAATAATGAATACAATAAAATTATAAAGACAATAATCATGTTCATAAGTATCACTAGTGTATTTATTAGTAAGGCGGTCTGAATTATTAGCAGCTATGCAAAATACAAAACAACACAAACCCGAAAAGATCCTTCTAAAAGTGTACCATCGGAACTTTTTTATGCGTTTCCCCTTTAGCAGGGATATAATTCACAGAAATCTTTATAGTTCTTTGTGTAGGGGCGAGTGGTGGGCGCCCCGCAGGGTTCTGATGATGAGTTACTGGCTGTCCTGGCTGTACCGGGTGAGCAGTAGGCCGGAACACGGAAGTCACCCCTCCGGCCGGCGTCATCCCGCCTTACTTCCGATACCAATCGCCCGGCCTAAGCCAACACTACGCGTATCTCATAATTTATTGACAATTTCGCAACTTTGCGATTGTTGTAGGGCGTCGGGAGTGATTGTAGCGTTGTAAGAAATCGGGGGCAGGGATGTCTTATTGCAAGGATTCAGTACATAAGAATTCAATAGGCACATGTCGAGTGTATATTTTGGCTCGTCAGATTCAAAAGAACATGTAATATGTAAGTGGTTTTTTATCATTCTTTTCTCGGGACTAATTCTAATTAGATGAAATAACAATCGGCTTTTCCAATAAGATCTTATATGAAAAATAATAAAAAAACCCAATTTAATTACAATCTTACACCCTAACGATAGAAACGTATATTTTTAATAATAATAAAATATCAAATCTGCATAAACAGGATCATATGACACGGTAACAGTAGTAATAATACATATAAATCCAGGATTACCTCTGTCATTGAGTGGGCACGCCGTGCAGATTACCAGGCGTTCATAAGCCGTGGTGTACATCAATCATAGGACAGCATCACAGCAGCCACGTGTCGACAATAAGGCGATGTACTCGACGGCGGCGCACAACAATATTCATAAATAACTTAGTAACAATAGTGGGAGGTCACGTGGCCCGGCGCGTGCGACGCCGGCCTAACGCCACATCTAATTATTTGCACATACCCACATAAATGCTCCTCAAAGTGTTTTAATAAAGAACTCCTCGTGGTGGCTTCTAGCACTTACATAGTACTTGACCTGGTTAAATGGTTGAAGTCAAATTGTAGTTGGCTGAAGTCAAACTTTATTGTTACCTTATTTTACAAAATCAACAATTAATCAAATACTAGATAGGTATGACAAATTTTTACAAGGTTACATCAGTTTTCTTT